ATATTTAGATTAATTCCCAACAGCCATTGTGCAGTCATTAAAATTGTTAAAAACCGATTTCAATTTAGATAATGGACTTATTATGAGATTTTAAATTACTAATGATAGTACAAATAAGTAACATTATCATAAACTTTATCGCTTTTAAGAGTAAATGTTTGGACACTTAAATATGATTGGATCACACTTAGTACGTGGAAAGTAATAACATTCAGTATAATCAATATTAACATTTAAACAAATGCATTTCGATCAGACCGTTTTTATAGAGATATTTGTTAACGACATCTCTTATCAATTTCAGCGTTCACAAAATGCACAAAATCAGATACGATCTATGGTAGACAAACTTTGTTCATGACACACAAGTTCTGTCTGAAATGTGAATTCTATGTCAAGGCTACGGAAATAGAAATGACAATTAGAAGAAATGCTATATAACTTGATACTTAAGTTACTGATGGTTTATCTGAGGTTCATAGCAATTAACCTTAAGTTTATTTCTTTATCTAAATGTAATAAAGTAAACTAATCCATTTGTTCACTTAGAATTAAAGTGTGTAAAACTATATATCCGCTGCAAAGATTTTTCTTGCATTTTGGAAAAGAATACTAGCAAACTGTAATTATGAGCAAATAAAGAACGCTTTACTTAAAATAGAAGCATACTATTTTGTTTCGGAACATTTTATTCTGTTTTCTAACAATATTGATGAAGCTGAAATCGTGAATTCAGTATGTTGAAAACGGGAATTCAGGAAGTTTAAATTGTGAATTCATGAAGATGAAATCGATAATTCATGAAGTTGAAATGAACACTTTAAGTTTAATAAATAAAGATTCCATTGAAAAATATAGCAGCATGAACCCTTGCAAATGCGAAACACTTAACAATTGTCTGATGACATCTTAAAACATTTTAATAATTAATGGACAACTAATGTATGACGGAAGAACTTGTGGTCTTAAACAGTTTCCATTTCATAAATTATATTGTGTATGTTTATATCAAACCGAGGAGCAAGTGAAAACAAATGAATGTCAGAGATGAGTTTATTCATTTTATTTATAATAATTTAAAGGTACTTAAAAGGTTAATTTTGATTTTATTCTTGATAATCGTGAAGCCCTTTTCATGTTTACAAAAAAGATTTATTGCAGTAGAATGAAAGAAAATAATATATAAGTGGGTATTTATAATTCTTCTTGGTATTTAAAATTATATACTATGTAGAAAAAATACAAAATTAACTCAATACATAGCAAATGAGTCGACTGTCTAATATGATTCTTACATTGAGTATTACTGAATTTACTACTGTTAGTTTTATGTTTTATACGAGATATCTGCAACATGTAAAGTACATATACCAAATGAAAAAAATAATATAATTAACTTGAAGACACACAAAGTGGTACCTCTGGATTCCTAGTTTGAATATAATTATACTCGAATGAATCAAATAAACTAAAGATTGTAAAACATATCTTATTTTAAAAGAGGGTTAATTAGTCTTCAATTGGCACATTTTTCATATGTATTTCAAATACTGATACAAACAGGTTAAAATGTAAATGTATCATTAGGTAGTTTTGTACGATATTGCATGAACAAAATGTTGATTTAGCTTTAAGTGATTTAGTTTCAACATTTATATGATACATAATAATATTTGTTCTAGAACATATTATTATCTGCTATATGAATTCATTTAATATCAGATCATGTATCTCACACCTGCCAACAACATCATTATATAATTCTTTCATGATTTGATATTTGTTCTCAAGATTTATAAAGTTGGCCTTGGACTTCTTGCTATAATTGATAATTTCTATTTCAGGCCAATGAATCAATTAAACGAAATGTTGTAAAGGATTATTAAAACAAAAAGTATCTTATTTTAAAAACAGACAGATTATGTAAAAGCCACAAAGACAGGTCGCCACGATTTTAAAATTCAAATTCAATTTCTCGCAAGAATTACCGTCTATATCAGTCATGTAAAATATTAATAGAATGAATGCATTTCGGAAGATGAATAGAATGAAAGGAACATAATGGATTGGAAATCTCATGGGTGAAATTCAATTTATACCAATGCAATGGTATGCAAAGCACGCGTCTCGTCGGAAATACATAAATATTTAATTTATTGTTATGTAAAATCAAACTGAGTGAGATTTAAAAGGTTGATCGATTCAAACAGTTTTCATGTTGAAACATTTCATGAGAATCTCATTTTTATATGTTTTTATACTGAAAAATGATATAATTAGTGTGAAAACCAGCTAGGTGTGTTACATGTCTAGCAGCTGTTAAAAACATCCGTCCTACGTTTTTCTGTACTTTCAGAATTATTGCCTTTAATTTATTCAGAGTTGGTTGTTGAATACGGCCTAAGCCAGTGCTTTAGGGGTGGTATGATTCGGCACTATAAATCATAAGTGAATCTGCTGTTTTCAACTATTTGGATTTCTAGGCCGTTAAATCCTATAAAAACTCACTTTTTCTGGTTTATTCACAGTGTAGAGATTTTATCATTATTTAGTTTAAAGTGACTTATAATAACTCAATTTAAGTTTTGTTTCGCTTACTAGTAAACAGTTTGCTTGAATTCTAATATCTTTCAACAATTTATAATCAAATGTATAAAAGTTGATGATATTAACTAATGACTAAGGCATCAGCAGACTGACTGTCATTATGCACTGGTTCTATCTAGAAATCTCTGATCTTACCCTTGGTAATAATAAAATCACAATATGTCCTCTCAACAATCAATCTTTCAATAATTATCTGTTACTAGCGAACAAAGTTTGTCAATGTTAAGTAATTACTTGTACAACTGTACAATTCACACACCAGGCGTTTCTTTAAACATTTTATCAGTTACTATAGTCTGATTTTATTGACCTGTCAATTATGCATACATTATAGAACTCATTTAAATATTCGATCCCACTTCGGTTTGGTCCGTGTAGTTTACGAGAATTAATGTGGAGTATATTAGTCATGGATTGAAAGTCACGCCACCTTAATGTGAAGGTTTTCGTTAATTCACAATAGTACAGTCGGTTAAGAGAATGCCTGATAATTTAGAGGTCTGTGGTTCGATCCTTGCTGTTGCCATTGTTTTAGTACTCTTTCTTTATTTTGCCGTATATTTTAATGGAACAGTTTGTAGTGTGTTTTACAGCATTGAAAAGACATTTATTGATTTAAATCCGTTTTAATTTTAAACATGAATTCTTAAAACATGTTATTTAAAGAGAATATAGATATAACAAAATTAAGTAAAACATAATAAAACAAAACGAACAACATAAAATAATCATATATAGCTCCAATATTGTTGAAAGTATAAATAAGAAAATAAAAACATAGACCTACGCGGTCTCGAACTTAAAACACATGTGGCACTTAGAGTATAAACTCGTGCTTTACCCTATTGCGCTATAACGCTGAGTACACTTTGTTGAGAGATACAAATTAAATTAAATTCCATCGTACAGCGTACATCTCACGGAACTTACCGAAAATCTACCGAAGATTAATATACTGTGTGCATCGACCGTGTAATCAGTATGTAATTGACAGGTTAATAAAACCAAACAATATGACAGATTTAATTTGAAATGTATTTTTTCATGCATTTTTCTAATATCTGAATAATGTACACGGCTATTAAGGCTTTAAAAGACCCCATTATTATTACAGTAAGGACAAAAGCTCAGCTTTAAAATTGAAATGCCACTTCCACATTAAAACATACCTTGAAATATTTCAAGTTAATATTTGGCTGTAACCAAATCTAAAAAAATTGCTTGCAATTTTACTTTCACAAGTAATGCCAATATCTCTCAATATCACTTCTCAGATTTCAAGAAAATCGCGCTTTGAGTTTCACAAATCGAAGAGGGCCATACCATCACAATTAAAAGATATAATTATCTTGATTTTTGATATAGGGTATTTATTTTGAAAGCTGGATAATACATGTAATATAGACCTTCAGTCTTTATTCGTCCATTATTTATTTCCTTTACAAGTTTATAAAACAGTTGGTTATTTTTTACAACATCATAGTGCCTTTTTGACATTCTCGTAATCTGAATTTAATTCCTGGTTTAATTTCACTTATTTGTCAACTCATACCATTTGCGTGTTTATGCTAAGGTAAATGTAGTAAGGTTAAGTTTGTATCAAAACATGTTGTTTTAACACCATTTATTATAAAAAGATACCAAACTGGTGTAAACTGTATTATCATATCAAAAAATATTTTATTACAAATTTGATGAACTGATTAACTGGCATATGTTACATGACAACAATAGTATCATTTAATTTTCTCTATTGACAAAGTACTTTAATATTTCCTTCATTTTAACCTACTTTTCCGGCGAAACCCATTTCATGACAAAAAGCAATAATCATCAAAGTGTTAATAGAGTTTTTCTATTTATTTTTGAAAGCTTGCACTTTAAACTTGTTATAAATGTTTACATTAATGAATGATATCGCCAAAAGTCATCACTGATCACAAATTACTACTATGCACGTAAATTCCCTTTTCAAATAGCAATTATGGGAAAATCGTTATGTAATTTTTGCTCCACATCATTTATTGCTGCACGAAATATATGTTTTACATTCTGGAAATAAGATATTACAATGTCGACTTTATTGTGGTACCTTTGCCTTGCTAAAATGTAATTGTTTATTGGTTCAGTATTAAAAATGGACCTCCAACAGTAAAGTGTATGGTTAAGCTCTATGGGTGTGCAAGCCAATATTGCTCTACACTGTTTGCATAGACCAATCATTATTGTTGTTTTTACTCAAGGATTTGATGTCGTTCTTAAAGACTTGAGAGGACATTTGAGAGAGATATAATAAAATGTTAAAGCTTAACACAAAATTGCTTTAGAAGTTCTTAAAAGACTTTGTTAAAAAATGAGTAAACCATGTTTGTACTTTTTCCTTTTGTTTTCAGTACGGGATAAGTGGGCCATTTTGGTATGCCGCAGGAGCAACAATACAGATCCTCCTGTTTGCCATGGTATCTGTTCAACTAAAAATTCGAGCCCCTGGCGCTAAAACATTTCTGCAAGTGATAAAAGCCCGGTACGGAGCAAACACGCACAAGGTTTTTGTGGTTTATGCATTAGTTACCAATATCATTGTAACAGCTAATTCAATGACAGGTTAGTATACGCGGTCAATAAATTTCAAAAACTGTTATGAGATTAAATATTCCATTTAAGAAAAAGTTATTTGTGAAAAGAAATATAAGACGGTGATTCTACAGTATATGGAGGTTGTACAATGTATATAATTCTATTGAAATGAGATCTCAAGGAAGAAAGTTGGTGTGATTTTCACCAAACACATTTATTACTCACCGTCATGACTAAAACAGTAATCCAATATAAAAAACAAAATCTATTCAAACACCTGTGTCGTTGACAATATCACAATGCAATTTTTATAAGAACAATATTTTGTAATTATATACTATGTAACATATTTTTTGATCAAACTGCAAAGAACAATTAAATTTCATTTAAATAACTACAATGATGTTTAGGTCAGGCTTATTGTTATTAACGCAATTATTTAATATTTTGCTAGGGCAATATCCACTGATGATATTTTTGATGTGTGTTTTAATGGATGTCTAACCGATGATCGTGTTGGTTGTGTCAGGGACTGCATTCTTTGAACACGGCTTTGCCTTGTTTATCTGTGTTCTCATATTTATAGAAAAAGACTATTGAAAATGTTTTGGCCAATACTTCAAGAAATTTCCAGTTTTTTCCATGTAGCAAAAACCTGTTTTTAACGACTTAGAAAATTAAATGCTTTTCTTGCCAAACAGAAAATATGAGTATCATCCATATTGTCTATATTGCAGGTGGGTCAGCTGTTTTGTCTGGATTAACAAAGGATATGGGAACGGAGTACGCCGCTATGTTGATGACGGCTGTTGTAGGGACATACACGTGCATAGGTGGACTGGGTGCCACATTTTATGTCTCATTTTTCAACACAGCAATGATCATGATGATGATGTTGGTATTTGTTATACGTGTTTACGATGACAGTGGGAATGATGATAGTAATCCGCTCGGTAGGTATTATCAAAATATTCATTTATTTAAGACACTTTGGTAATTATTATCTACAAACCTGGTGGTATTCTATTAACAAAAATTAATTGTTTGGTATGAATCTCTAGGATTCCGTACTTTCATAACTTAAGGCTCTAAAATCACACAATTTATATGAATACATTATAATTTCTTACATATATTGTATACAAAATCCAATAAATGACATAATTTTCAAATGTCTTTTATTTATGACATAATGATAAAAGTTTTTAACATACATAGTTAGAACAACATCCAGTATCAATTTGTTTGTATGATTTGATTAAGGTTCTGAAGAGAAAGTGTTTGAGTACTTGTCCTGTAGCGAAGGACCAGAGGGCAACGAAGAACGAAGCTATCTGACGCTTGTTTCTAACTCTGGACTCATGTTTGGACTTATAAATGTCGCTGGTAAGAATTTAACATTCCATTAAACTACTCTCATCGTCCTCCATTATTTACAGTTCAGAAATTTCCTTGCACAATTTATTGTTTCTTATTTAACAATAAATTAATCATTTTATTGTTAAGCAATTGTTTGATTTTAAATGATGTAAGAAAAAATTAAATGTTCAGATATATTTGTTGCCAGGTTTCGTTGCTTAGTTTTTTTCACATTCTCATTTCTTGTAGATGGATAATAAGTATATGTTTACAATGCTTCATGCAAAGTTTATTTGACATCTTGTTCTAATTTACAATAATGTGAGAAAAATAAAGCATTTGCTAATATTTTATATTGCTTTCACATGGGTTCTTGATCTTTTTAACGTATCACATGTATATTTACTTGAATCTTTGTTGAGAATACACAAGACAAGTGTAATATTGCTATCAAATTAATTAGTCAAGACAACGTACTGTTTTATATTTGTGTCCCCTCTTTTCGCCTCCCTTGTTTCCGCTCCCGATTTTTTCGGTGCCTTCTTGATGCCCTGCTGTTGTGACTGGACTGCGTCTGGGGCCGAGTTCTGTGAACATCGTCTTTGTCTTGTTGATCTTTGTCCTCATATTTAAGAGTACTTAATGATTTTGAATCTTCAGAATACAAGAAATATCAATATGAAAATTACAGGTTAGAGTATTATTTAAGAGCTTTCTTTTATACTTTCAATAATTTTTGTTTAGCACGTGCTTTTAATTTTGATTGACTTAAGGTTGTTTTGGGACAACATATGTAGATCAGTCGTACTGGCAGAGTAGTGTTGCAGCAAAGCCTAGACAAGGAGTGTTGGGGTTTCTAGCCGGAGGCCTCGTTTGGTTCTCTATACCTTTCGCACTAGCAACTACTATGGGTCTTGCCTACACAGCACTCGGCACACAACAGGGTCAACCTTTGCTTGTTGAAAGTGATGTTAATACAGGTAAGGAATCCCTTGTAATATTTTGGTCCTGAACACAACCCTTCAGAGTGTCAATAATAATAATATGAGTAAAGAAAATCAACTTGATAAAATATTTTTGTTGTTTTTTACGCCTCATATACGTTACTGTTACATACGTCGCATGTTTATATTCTAAGTAAAAAAAATTTTTTTTTTGTATTCAGGATTGGTTCTACCAGTGGTAGCACAGCGAATGTTTGGTAAGGCTGGTGAAATGATGGTGTTAGTGATGGTTCTAATGGCTGTTGTATCTACTGGCTCTGCCGAAGTTCTCGCTGCTACTTCAATAGTTGTTTATGATATTTATCAGCTGTATCTAAAGGTTTAAATATTTTAACTACAAAAAAGGGGGCCGTTTAGGCAAAATTTAAAAATTCTCAAGTGTGTATTTAAAAATAAATGCATGTTTAAAATTGCACGCCTCTATATTTGTACGTCTAATTGGTAATTTAAATTGATTGTAAGTGTCTTTAGCAAAGTGTAAATTACTTTTTTTTGGTTAAATTTAAAAGTTAATTTTGAATATATTTTCAACATTTTCATGTAAATAAGCATGAATATGGGGGCGTGTGATCATCGTCACTTGATTTTTAAAACGTAAAAATTTATGTAAATTTTAATTTTAAAGAAATATTTTCTTTTTTGATACTAAAAAGAGGGTTTACTTATGTACCACATGATAATGGTAAAGATCAGATCTGTCAAGAGTAACATAAAACGAAGAAATTTTCGACTCAAATATTTAAGCAAATTTCTCTGAAAAAGACATTGAAGGCAATAAAGACAAAAGTATATAGGTAAACATTCAAGACCTGTTTGACTGACTGTTAATGAGAAAGAAATATTAATGGGAAGTGAAATATATCTCACCTTCCGACTTGCGTAGTCTTCAACACAAAATGTAATAAAGATAATAGGATACAGTTCTTACGTTTGAAAAAATACTTCTGTTTGTCATACTAATAGATTTTATCATTATTTTCACTTTCTTGTTTGATTGACTTACAGCCTTTCAGAAAGGTGCTAGACTCCAACAGTTGTATTCTGTGTGGAAGAGGTCGTGGAAGAAAGGCGTGCCCACGTGACAAATGTTCATGTGAAAGTATGTCCGTATGTGCCGACTGTCAAATGGATAACAAGTACGTGTAATACATTAGTCATAATCTTAGTGGTTACATTCATTGTAATAAATTTGATATGCATGTTATACAGCAATGCTTTATAGGGAATATTACGAAACAAGTAATAACTGGTTATAAACTGTATTGATATCATTGCATGTATATTCATTTTATGAATAAATTAATTGCATTCTGGTTACATTTGTTAATGTGTGGGAATTTATTCTAGTTAACCTATTTGAAAAGCTACATCATAATTTTAAAAGCCTTGTTTTATTACTACGATTCAAAAGGACTGGGTCCATTTACTTCTTATCATTACCAAGAAATCGTTCAATTGGATCTTGATAACACTCAAAAAGGATATCTGTTTATTATAACTCATTAGAAATTGTTCCGGTAAAGACCGGATATGTACCATGCATTCGTGCGGAGTGGGAAATCCTACTTTCAGTTTTTAAATGGCAGAAATTCTAATTGTGTTGTCATGAACTAACATCTTTCTCAATCTGCTAAGTTAAACATATTGAGGATATATAAAGTTTTGGGTAAGAGATATCCATAACGAAAACGAAACCAGTCAAATAGTTGACAATTGAAGACTAGGTTTTATTGAGTCTGTTCATGAGAAAAAAAAGGAAAGTGCAAAATCTCTCACGCCACATTGAACCGTTGCAAGCAGCATTTTTCCCAAACACTTTAAGTATTACAAGTATAATTAAAATAAGATTTTTAACTTTCAGGAAACGAAGTGAATCTTCGAGAATTCCTCCCCCTATGTACACATGTCGAGTTCATGGAACCTATCGCGAGTACACAGACTATCTCTCACACATGAAAAACTGGGGGTTGTTTTGGACAACCCTTTGTATTTTACCACTTACCATACTTCTTCACACCTTACAAGTAATTATTTATTCATTTTGATACACAGCTTACTTCAGCAAATGACTTTATTTCTTTTCAAATTTTTAAGACATAGTTTATTTTGTTAAAGCAAAACATGTCTAACTTTCCTTTTTCTGGTTGACGCTATTTAAAGATGGACTAAAACTTTGGAAAAATTCTAAATTTCTTAAATGTGCAGTCTGTCTTGAAGCTTAAGAAAGATCTTTTTAAATAAGTCACTAAAGATGAGATAATGTACTCTATCCATATAATTTTAGATCAATCTTACCGCCGTTTACTTGTTCATGGGTGTAACAATCAACTCTGCAGTGGTCCCAATTGTGTTGTCAATGTTCTGGGAGCGTCTTACAGGATTAGCAATGATTGCGGGAAGTATAGGCGGAACAGTGTTAGCGCTGATAACATGGATTATTGTAACAGCTTCATATCCTGGAGGTCTGAAGGACTTCAAAGACAACGCTAGTAGGAAGAATTTATATTTTATGTATTTCATCTTAAAGTTTACAGAATACAGAAGAAGAAATTATTTTAATATTTTTCTTGAATATTTTACCTTACCAGTGTGTTTGTTTCTTTCCAACGAATATCTTTTAGTTTTTTAATTTTATTAATTGTAGCAAACTTTTAGATTTATTAATTTACTTTCGCTTTTATAGGACTTCTTTTTCTCAATGCTAGTAGTTTATTGACAGTAATTACAACAGAATTGTTAATGCAAAAATCCTTACTATTTAATTCAAATTATCAGATTAATGTATTGCCAAAGAATTTCACCACAAAGTATTTGTTAACAAAATAACACATGTCAATGTCAGTGCTTTAATGTATTGTTATTCAAATTACAGATCTGAGTAGAGATCTATCAATTGCTTTCAGTGTGTGAAATTCATGATCTATTTAATATTTATACGAAATCCAATGCCTGAATAAACTTTTCATGTTAGTGTAATTTTATATTCACAATATTTCAAATGCCATGTACAATGAAATGATGATGTGATATCTAGAATCTGGCATGCTTTGTCTAACATTTTCGAGACCTCAATGCATTGCTCTAGGTAAAAAAAGATCAATGCTGTACACGACAAATTGATGCAATAAAATTTGCTTGATACTGATGAGTTTTTGCAGATATAAATCCGATCACCGTATTTGAAGCGTGTAAGTTATTATATTTTAACATGTATCGTGCTTTTATCACTATGCACAGAGATGAAGAGAAAATAGGTGTAAAACTGATACATTAGCAATGGTCACGGACTAATGTAGGCGGCCTTCGTGGTTAAATACGACGCATCAAAACTTTTTTTAAAAAAAACGACATTAAAAAGCTAAATAATTAAACGCAGGCCGATGTTATTTCTTTTTTTATAGCGAATATTTACTTCTTTTATAATATATTAAAATGTTTGTATTAACCTGATAATATATCTTTGTCAAAAACTAACTTTCAGCAGAGGAAACTCCGATGTTATTTGGAAACTTGATGTCATTAATAGCTGGTGCAGTTATTTCCGTTTGTGTCAGTTTGTTGTCAGGAAGCAACAAAGAAGGCTCTGAGGTGTGGGAGAAAACAAGAGACATAGACAATCCGCTAAGTCCGTGGACTGAACTTTACGAGAAGTAAGTTACAGGATTTTTTTAATCATTGGGTGTGCTCAGTGTTTTAATTCGTCTGTAAGTGGATCAAATAGAGCATCAAACGGATTCTGGAGAATTACTGATATGCGTTTTTTATAAGATCACATTCTTTACAGGATCCATTAACCGGAGTCTTTTATTTTGACCAATTTTTACATGACCAAGGCTGTAGTTTTGGCATCTCTTTTTATATGTCCGAAAGAATTTCGAAAATAATGTGTTATACCCCCTAGCGTCCGTCTGTTAGCAATTTGGTTTCCGGAGCATAACTTAAGTTTCATTTGGTCCATAATATTCGAACTTCATAGGATGGTTGTCCATATTGTGTAGCAGACCTTATTGATTTTTGGGTCACAAGGTCAAAGGTCAAGGTCACTATAACCTTAAAATTGAAAACAGTTTCCGCTCAATAACTTAAGTATTAATCAACCTACAGCTGTAAAATTTTATAGGATGAACAGAAATGCAAGGTCAAAGGTCAAGGTCACTATAACCTTAAAATTGAAAACAGTTTCCGCTCAATAACTTAAGTATTAATCAACCTACAGCTGTAAAATTTTATAGGATAAACAGAAATGTCCAATACATTACCCCTATTGATTTTATGGCCATAAGGACAAAGGTCAGGGTCACAATGCAATGACCTTAACATTAAAAATGTAATTTCTGGAACATAACACAAGTTCAATTTGGCTTACAGTGTTCAAACTTATAGGATGATTGCCTATATTGATTAAAATATCCATATCTATATTGGGGTCACAAGATCAAAGGTCAATATCAAATGACCTTAATATTGTAAACAGTTTTGCAACTGTCAAACTTCATAGGATGATCACTTATATTGAGTATATTTATTATTAGCCCTAAAAATGCTTACATGTTATACCCCTGGCGTCTTTCCGTCCCTCCGTCGTAGGTTTTTTTAATTACAAGATAACAACTTGATGGTGGTGCTTTAGAAACAACAACTGTATATATATATATTTTGTTTATTCATTCAAGACTTACACTTTTCGGGCATATAATGCTCCGCCTGTCGGTGCTCTTATTCATACTTATATTTATAGAGGATAAGTATGTTTAGTTTTATAAATCAAAAACATAATCAGTAGTGTCACTAATTTAGAGGACTCCACTGAGATCCATAAGCGTAAATATAAAACATTGAATACAGAAAAATCTACAAAAGGTAATCAAGGAATAAGCACAGAAATAAATTAAAAATCAATTTTTTGTGCTATTCTTAGCGCAATTTAAAGTTGGCGAATTATCTAAAATTTTGGTCATACGTTTTTGGACAATACATACATAAAAAAATAGTAATCCCAGTCCCGGCATGTCAAAATACATGTACCTCAGTGGATTCCCTTAAAGTTAATGCCGTCGGCTGTAAATAATTATTATTGTTGACTTGTTTTAGGGATCTTAATCTAACGGGTGCATCTCGTTTGGACAATAGGCCGCCACTTGAAGAGGTGCAAGTAGCCTTTAGGTTTGCAAAAATGGTTGGATTTATTGGATCAATTTCAACAACGGTCGTATTAATAATACTTTGGCCGTTAATAATGATGTTTGGTGTATCAGTTATGGACTTCGATTCATTCTATCAATGGGTATGTATCTTTTTCAGAATATTTTACAATTATGTCAATATAAACTTGTTTAAATGAAAATATGATAATCAAGTTTCAAAGGTAGTGTTTCAAACATCAGTCGAGATCAAGTATAAATCATCTTTTCAAATCCATGTCAAGGTGCCTTACGAGCCGATTAATACCATATCAGATTCTGGAATAAAACAAAAAACATATATAAAAACACAAATACAAAGTGTCAACTTTTTATGTATCATTTATTTATAATTTCCTAATAATGCCAAAGGATTCCATTTCATATCAATGTTTTTATCCTTTTTAGTCGAAAAGTCAAAAGAATTTGAAACAAAGAAATAAAAAAAAACTTTTTCTACTTTTTCAGGTTGCGGTTTCAAAAGTGTGGGCCTTCCTTGCAGCAATATTTATCATTATCGCCCCATTCGTGAATGAAATTTATGACATATACAAAGCATTTTTATCAAACAGACGCGTTCATCCTGTCAGGCGGAGGGATACAAAAGTTAATGCGCACACGTCACATACAAACGTTGAACATGTCGGTAATGAAACAAATGCTGTCAATGTTGAAGAATCCAACAATGAGATTAACAAAGTAGAAGTAGACGATAACGTCACCGTGGAAAATGTACGCTTATCTGGAGTGGAAAAACTTAGTATTTAATTACGGACTTGTGGCACTTATTCAAAGAAATCGTTTGATAGATCGATTAAAACGTTTAAATGAATGTGTTATCGAATAATTATTTTGATGGACATATTGCGTCTGTGGAGTTCGAGAATGAATACATTTGATGCAATGTTATCTGTACCTATGTGCTGTAAAGAAACAGTTTAAATTCGTAATTCGATGTTACGAAGCTTGTTCATGCTATTGCTGCTAGAATCGGCATTGTGATTTTTGTTTAACATTGATTGTTAGCTTCATACCTTTCAAATAAACGTTTAAAAACTATTTTCCGTTTTTAGAGGAACAACAACAGTTCTAGTGAAACGAGGTAACACGGTCATTATATTCCAAGGTCCCTAAAGGGTTTAAAGTATGTGTTCATATACTTTTTTACATGTACCTAAGTCTTACGTGATTTTTGTAGGAGAAGACAGGGTATATGGTGAAACAGATACATTCAAATTATGAAACTTTGAAATCTTTTAAAAGTCTTTGTGGACTAAATTAAGCACACCTAAAAATATGTAGCAATTCAAAATCTTTTCGTTTCATGGCCGTATTTTCTGCAATGCCATATTCAATATACTGACCATCACTCATTGTTTCGAAGAATACTTTTATTTGAGTCACTATTGCTTGAGCACTCATTTGGTATGATTTATTTGACCTTTTTTTATCTGAATAATGTTGACATGATAATGAGTCATATAAATACATACTAATTCATTATTTGCAATAATTTTGAATAATCCGTTCATTGTGAAAGATGTCCTGTGAATGTAATTGCATATCAAGGATAAGTCGAAGAAAAGTAAAATGATCTGAAACCAATTTCTTGCAGTTTCGGAAGCTTTTGAACATTTGATGCATTTGTTTTATCTGATTTTGCTTTATATTGTCTGTTTCACTCATTTTCATATGATTTTATTTTTGAAATAAAATATTGATATAAGTTGTTTGTTTTTAATTGATTTACAATTACAATCAATGTGCTACTGTAACTACGTGGAGTAATACAATACATGTATACAACATCTTTCACGCTATATCATTGTATGACTTTTAATTCATTTAATAGTATTTATCACGGGTCCTACAGAAAATCTGTTTTTTTTACTCAAATGTATATCATTCATTTTTAAAAGACAGAAAAAGCAAGTGATTATCCGGTTTTGTTTTACAATTCCTGAATAAAAAAAACAAAAACAATATTCCTTTTCCAGTTGTTAGACATATTTAGGCAAATTTTAACCCATTACTGCATGAGCATTTTGTGAAAAATGGCTGTTTACATTGAAAAGTCTCCCGTTACAAGTTCATATTGCTATAAAACTATAAAAACAGCTTCAATACTAATCATACTTGGCACAAATGTTGACTGGACCATTGCCTCTGTAAAAACATTCTCAGTCTTAAATTTCCTGTTACCATGGTAACGAGGGGACATCTCAAAATTGCCAAAAATCAATCTTAAAGGTTTCTTTTTTAGCCTGTCACAAGTCCAAAATTTTCTTGGCAATGAGGGGGGCTTCCGCCCCCTTCAAATCCCCAAAACAGAAGGGGCACATCTCCTTTTCTGGCAAGCCCCTATTGTATCTTTTGGATAGGGAGCGGCGCCGAAAAAGTGGTCACCTTTTTAAACTACATTTCTCAAACAAAAACTAGTGTTGGGGGCCTAAATAAGGCCTTTCTTCACCACTTGAGATAACAAAAGGGCGGAAAAAGGCGTGAAAAGGCGTGTATATCTGGTAATGGGTTAAAGATATAATCTCTATATTTAGATTTGGATGAAATGAATACATGATATAGACAAATGCATTGTACGAAGAGTACAGTCATAGTATACACCGTTTTCACTATATTTACTGAAGTTTTATTATAAATGTTTTGTACTTAAGTCAACTTTCCTTCAATAACATTGTGTACAATTATCAAATGGTCATCGGAAATGACGTGAAAGTTATTAATGTTCCGTCACTTTTCGTGGTAATAGAATGTACATTGCTTTTTAAAAAATACTCATTTAATTGGATAAGAGGATATTGGTACGCGTTTGAAATAAAGCAATGACCTTTTTTTACGTGCAAAATAAGCGGTCATATTTATGTCATCAACATTTTGATTAATAAGTCTACAGGAAGTGCAATTTTAAATATAAGATAATTGCCTAAGTCATGCTTTAATGTGCAAACACGGATTCGAACGACAAAAGCATACTTGTTTAAACTTTTATTTAAAGAATGACAAGATGAGATACTCATTGAAGTAGTGATATAATTTGATTTGACAAATCCATTGTTTTTTCTTGTGTGCTAAATATTAATAATAACTTAAATACACATCTACTCTGAATGAGTACAAGAGCACGTGATACCCTCTGAGAATGGTTAAATAACATATGTTGGAAATACACAAATTAAGTAATTAAAGACTAAACTTACAAAAGCAAAATATATCTTCAAAGATCGGGCATAAACAATTATGATGGAAACTGTGTTATTTTTTTTCTTTATTTAATCATTTATTATGTACTGTGATTTTTAATTTTCAGCTTCTTATTTATCTATAAGAACAGGGTTATCTACTTTCAATGTTTTGCATATGCATACATGTAATAAAATATCTGAATTTGATTTGATTATGACTTTTACATAAAAATTTGACCTTTTTAAAGTAAAAATGTCTGAGCATACGATGTCTTTCATTAGAACATATTTACTGACTAGTCATTTTTATGTACATGAAAATTATACTTCATTACTAACAAGTCCTTCAACGTTTTGTTGTTTCACAGTTTGACGAGCGATTAACTGCACTATTTGTCAATTTTCTCGTGTTTTATTAACAAAGGGTGATACATTAATTATCAACTTATTCGTTGATTCTAACAGGTAATTTTATATAATTTTATGAAATATACAACTTGGGAGCATTACATTTAAATCATTTAGGTGTAGAGTTGATAATCAAATTTGATAATGTAGTACAACTATTCTTAATAAGTATCATGTGTTTGTTTAAATGTGATAACACTACCGTAATAGAAATCGAGTTTGTGGTGTTCTAGAATAGATGTAATTGAGAAATCGGCATGCAAAACAAAAGTGTGTCAATATTAACTAATAAACACCATTTAGTTGATACTCACCCATTCTCGAGTTCCTGGAACCAACAAGTGCTGACATGTTGACAACATGTTGATCTTAAATACACTGAAGCCTGATGTTTAACCTTAGCTATTAGGTGTAACACATGTATAATAGCAGTTGAAAGGGCCTTAACAATATTCATTAGCAATTTATAGATTTGAAGAAAACAATTTTATATCTAGAAAATATATTTATGAATGTGAATTTACTGCCGGAAATGTTTTTATTTGCATCTTTGGTGTTTTTTTTTTATAAAAATGAAATAATGAATGTGGTGGCAATTAAGCTAAAGTGCCCAGTTATTTTACATGTTTACATTTCTACGCAATAAAAAGATAGACATATTTTGAGGAGGAGGATAAATAAGAATCAAAGTGCTGCAGCACTGAATGCGACGGACATGCAACTGGAGAGACATTTAGAAAAAAACAAACAAAAATAAAACACAAAATATATAACAGAGAAAATTTGTTCCATACAAGTTCGAGATTTTTAGAGCAATATATTTTGTGTCCCAATCTGATATAATTCAGACTTTCTACTTTCAAGCATTTAAATACAAAATGAAATTTATGCCTAAAAACTCTGGTCAAACTTGTAAATCAGTGTCCTTATCGATTTATTCCAAGAAATGATATGTAAATAGAAAAAAAAACTGTCAACGAAATATTTCTAAAATAAAACCATGCAAATAAACTTCAAGCATAATATATTGTACATGTGAGAATGTTATTTAGAATTGCTTCGTGTTATAACATAGTGGGCATATAGACAATAAAATATAAGTCATTTGTTTTTTATTTCTCTTGGATATGTCTCATTAAAAATATTTTTGGTTAAAATCATCAGCAATTAATAGTGTATTTTTTTTTAAAAAATGTATTTACAAGGGCCAGCTAGAGCACATCGTTTTTATTTTAATTTAAATGTCACTTAAGCACTACGGTGTTTAGTTGTCTTTTCATTTTCACACTAAATTCCATTTTCAACTTGTTTGCTTCTTACAATTGTATAGAATTTCTAAAAGTATTGCATGTAAACAAAGTAAGTATCCGCTGGTTTATTACATGCACTAATCGCCTGTCCGAAAATCAGCACAGGTGCAGCAGAATCTATTTTTAGAATAGCGAAGGTTAACTCATATCGTGACCTAGAAAAATATGTAAACAAACCACAAGAATCGGAAGTAGAACTGATATTATAACTTCCTTCATGAAAGACTACATGGTGGAAAAGTGTTGAAAAACCCTCTTGTTACATGCATTTTCAAAAATAGATATTTATGCTAACCATTGTACTGTATCTAATTTATTAATAACTGCTGAATATTCAGCTAAACCCGCGGTATGAGTCACGAAAATAGTTCTTCTTTTATTAATGCGCGAGTTATTCTAGAGTCACGAAAAACTTTTGATTTGTTAATAATAATGTTTTGTATAATGTAGAAATATTTATTTCCTACTAATAATTTCTTGGAACTCAGAGCTTACACCTTTATTATAGTATAATTTGCTGTCCTACTTTTTCGACAGCGGTAAATCGTTTCGGCAGTAATTTGCATATTGCGCAATAATACTACGGGACTACTACGTTTTTATCAATCATTTACGTTCATATTTTAACTTGGATAACTTAATTTGAAATTGAAAAGGCTAAATATGGAAGATTTTAAGATATCCCGACAAAGTATGGGAGTTTTAAAGGATAAAATTCATGTACTTTTTCTTGGGCTGTTAATCGGTTGAGGACACTGCGCGATTGTAGCAGACGAAATCCCATGTGTAGATGACTTAGCTCTGAACGCGCCTGAGGGCGCGTCCGTCGCAAAAAGTAACTTGTAGTAAAATTGCCCAAAAATTGAAATCGAAATTCATTAAGAAAATATGTATGACTTTAAACTGACGTGTAATTAACACAACATCGTGTTTTAAAATTAAATTGCATTATGATTGTATTATTATGTTTATGTTTTGATCATCTTTTAAAACGTATATCAAAACTATTGATGAATAGAAACAGTTATAACTGATAGGCTAAGACAAGGCATAAGGCAATTTAATAGCGGTAAAATAATATACACCGAAAAACTACAAACATAAATGAAACAAGCATTTGATGTTTTAATGATTACGCAAAATGTTTGCACATTGAATAACATTTGTGAGAATACACTAGATAAACTGAAATTCTTTTCGAAACATATTAAAAAGAAAGATTTTTTTAAATAAATCAAAACCCCAATTGAAAGCAGCTTATTTACAGATAATCTATTGTAATATTATAGCACAATATTAAGGATGACAACAAGTATCATAACTTGGATTCTACTACACAAAAAATCGTTACATAATGACTTCATATCCTGGACTTATGCTCGCGACAGTTCAAAAGAAAACGCTACTCGTGACGCAGAAAAGTTAAAATAAAAGTGTTCGTGTGTGTGTTTTCGTCTATAAGCGACTAATAGTTGCAAAAAAGGTAGACACCATTTGGGCAAAGTTTGTAATCAAACGTCTTTTGATCATTAGAGTCAAGTGGTAAATATACATGGTCATCAAAAAGACGACCGGGTTTTTAATTTCTCTATAACTTGGCTAATTAGGTGCGTGAGTAACATAAATTGCAATGATTAAACGCGCATTTATACGTTCACCATCATTGTCAAATGTCAGTAAACATATAAATGAAAACTTCTCCTGAAACCTAAAAATCTGTATAAAGCTATTTATTTGATGCCTGCAGTTTTCAAACTGGGTGTTTAAATTTGAAAAGGACAGTTCCAAAATGCATGTAAGATATGC